TTTCTCTCTCTCCCTTTCTCTCTCTCTCTCTCTCTCTCTCACAAACACACTGTCTCACTCTTTTTCCTCTCTCTCTCTTTCTCTTTATCTCTCTCACACACTCTCTCTCCCTTTCTCTCTCTCTATCTCTCTCACACACACTGTCTCACTCTCTCTCTCTTTCTCCTCTCTCACTCTCATTCTCTTTATCTCTCTCTCACACACACCTACTCTCTCTTTCTCTCTCTCTCTCTCTCTCTCTCTCGCTCTCATTCTCTTACACCCCCCTCTTTCCCTCTCTCTCCCTCCCTCTCTCACAAACTCTTATCCTCACTTCTGCCCTCTAGCTCTCACTCACTCTCTCTCTCTCTCTTCCCCCTCTCCCTGTCACCCTCTGTCTATCTATCTCCCTTTCTCTCACTCACTCTCTCATCCTCTCTTTATCTCTCCCTCCCTCTCCCACTCTCTCTCCTTCTCTTGCTCTCTCTCCCACTCTCTTTCCCTCTCCCTCTTTCTGTATCTCTCTCTCACTCTCTTTCTAATCTTTTCTCCCTCTCTCTCCTCTCTCTCTCTCTCCACCCTCTCTCTCTCTCTGTCTCTTCCCCCCCCCCTCTCCTTCTCTACTTATAAATGAATGCAGGAGCTGAGTATATTTCATTTTTCACCAGATTTGCCTGAGGGGAGGTTAGATTTGTTCATTTAAAAAGTGTCTTGCTCAAGTGTCCTGGGGCAGAAAGAGATTTGTTAAAAAGTGGATTATGCGAACGTGCTGTGATTGGCCGATTGTCCCTGTCAATCACGTTAAGAGCTTTGGGCGAACCGTGAAATCCTCATGATTCATGTTCCTGTGTTATTTCTGTTAGAGGAGCTCGTACCAATAATAGATTTGGGCTTCTCCCTCTCCAAACCTTCAGAAATGCAGAAAAAATGCTGTTCTTTTACATTTTTTTCTTTCCTAATAAATTCTTGCAATGTGGTGGTAGTAGTAGTAGTAGTAGTAGTAGTAGTAGTAGTAGTAGTAGTAGTAGTAGTAGTAGTAGTAGTAGTAGTAGTAGTAGTAGTAGTAGTAGAAGTAGTAGAAGTAGTAGAAGTAGTAGTAGTAGTAGTAGTAGTAGTAGAAGTAGTAGTAAGTAAGTAGTAGTAGTAGTAGTAGTAGTAGTAGTAGAAGTAGAAGTAGTAGAAGTAGTAAGAAGTAGTAGTAGTAGTAGTAGTAGTTAGTAGTAGTAGTAGTAGAAGTAATAGTAGTTATAGAAGTAGTAGTGGTAGTGGTAGTAATAGTAGTAATAGAAGTAGTAGTGGTAGTAGTGGTAGTGGTAGTAGTAGAAGAAGTAATAGTAGTAGTAGAATTAGTAGTAGTAATAGTAGTAGTAGTAGTAGTAATAGTAGTAGTAGTAATAGTAGTAGTAGTAGTAGTAGAAGTAGTAGTAGTAGAAGTAGTAGTAGTCGAAGTAGTAGAGGTAGAAATAGTAGAAGTAGTAGTAGAAGTATTAGAATTAGTTGTAGTGGAAGTAGTAGTAGAAGTAGTAGTAGTAGTAATAGAAGTAGAAGTAGTAGTAATAGAAGTAGTAGAAGTAGTAATAGAAGTAGAAGTAGTAGTAGTAATAGAAGTAATAGAAGTAGAAAGTAGAAGTAGTAGTAAGTAGAAGTAGTAAGTAGTAGAAGTAGAAGTAGTAGTAGTAGTAGAAATAGAAGTAGAAGTCGTCGTAGTCGTCGTCGTAGTCGTAGAAGTCGTCGTAGTTGTAGTAGTCGTAGTAGTTGTAGTAGTTGTAGTAGTTGTAGTAGTGTAGTAGTATTAGTGGACAGTGAGAGAAGTTTTGCAGCCTGGTGTTCTGCTGTCCTCACTGCTCCGCGCTGTTTTTATATCCATATATTTGGAGTGAAGCGTATTGCAGCAGGACTCATATCTGCCTCACTATTTCATAGATATTTCATGCCGCTGGACTCCGCTAACATTCATAGCAGTACTGCGTAACATGTAAACAAACAGCGCTGTGTGATGATGTCATCGGCCATGGCCTGGTTCAGTTGTGCAGGTGTGAGTGCAGATGGTCCTAAAGTTCTAGTGTGAGTGCGCCCTATGTTGATGATGAACACTCAACTGGTCTACTGGTGCCTCTAGTAGTTGTAGTAGTAATAATGGTAGTGATTGTAGTAGTACTAGTAGCAGGGATGCACTGATACGACACTGGTATCAGGTATCGGTTCCATAATATCGGTTAGGCAGATAGCCTGGTTGGACCTTTACTTAAACATAATAAGACTTCTAGAACGTCTCATAATGTTTGATCTTTAATTCATATAAAAAGGTGCGGTCACCTTTTGAAAGATAAAGAACACTTACATAACTGCTGGACTGCACCTCTTGTGAAATAATTTACACAAGAGGAGATCAGCAAATACTTAAAGTCATAGTATATATATATGTACTGGAACTGAAAAAGCTGAATTGGTAATTAATCGGTAGAGCAGTAGCTGAGTAGCAGTAGCAGTAGTAGTAGCAGTTGTAGAAGTTTTAGTAGCAGGAGTAAAACTGAATAAATAATTAAAAAAATTCTTAATATAGTCTTTCCTAATCACTCGGATGTTTTCATGACTTCCCCCACATTTCCCTTTAAACACAAACACACACACTACAGCCCGACCGATATGGATTTTTATGATACTGATATAATGCCACCAGGCTGGGCTGATAGCTGATATAATTCTTAAAAAAAAAAAAAAAAAAAATCACTGGTATACAAACTTAATAATCATGCAAACTTTCACCTTTTTCAAAAAAGTTTTATTAGTAACAATCAGGTGCAATGTTTTACTTTTTAGCATATTCAAACAACTTTAGCCAGAACATAATAATTAAATAATAAGTCAGTAATAATAATAATATATATATATATATATATATATATATATATATATATATATATATATATATATATATATATACTAATATAAAATAAAAATATGTTGTTCAATGACCATAATAATAATCTTTGAAAACAAAATAACAAAAAATGTGTATCTCTATATAAAATAAAAGGCAGAGAAATAACTGCACTTGTTTTTGCTTCATTAATGTCCACGGCCGGGCGGGAGCTCAGAGCCCACAGCCTGGCTGGAGCTTGGAGCCCAAAAAGTCAAGTGGCAAAGAGTTTGACGCGATTTATTTCCACCATTTGCGTTTGGTTTGAACACAGCTTTACAGGGCTGTAATAGCGGAGGAAAAAGAAAAATATCGGCACTGATCAGCGGAATTTTGGCCGATAGTCGATATAACTCGAGACCCTGATTTCGGCTGGGCTTTAACACACACACCTCCTCCGTCTCAAACACACACTCACCTCCTCCATCTGAAACACACACTCACCTCCTCCATCTGAAACACACACTCACCTCCTCCATCTGAAACACACACTCACCTCCTCTGTCTCAAACACACATTCTCATCCACCATCTCATACACACACTCACCTCCTCCATCTGAAACACACACTCACCTCCTCCGTCTGAAACACACACTCACCTCCTCCATCTGAAACACACACTCACCTCCTCCATCTGAAACACACACTCACCTCCTCCATCTGAAACACACACTCACCTCCTCCGTCTGAAACACACACTCACCTCCTCCATCTCAAACACACACTCACCTCCTCCATCTCAAACACACACTCACCTCCTCCGTCTGAAACACACACTCACCTCCTGCGTCTCACACACACACTCACAGCATCTTAAACACATTACACACACTGGATGGAGCTGCTAATTGCTTGTGACCAAAAGTTAAATTAAATGTCACTGTTGTGATCTATTGTCCTTTAAAACTGCAACATAAACAGACTTTTGCTCTGCTCAAATGAGGCCACTATATCAATGTAACATAAACTACAAAACGCAACGTCTCCCAAATCACTTCATACCCTAGTTTTTGAACTTTGACCCTTCTTTTTTGTTTAATGGAATTTTTAGAGACAATTTTATAGATACTGTTGCAGAGTTATATGGAGTGTGTTTTATTTATTCTTTTGGAACAAGTTTTGGAACAAGTTTTGCACACTGTGAGAACATCTTATGTTTTTTACTCTGTACATAAAATGAGAAATTTTCTTATCTGCTAGATCTTTATATTTCAGAACTTTGGAAATAGTTTTGTATTTTAAAGGTGCAAACTGCAGCTTGGGGTGGAGACAGTAGGGTGCCACAGTAGGGCATTAAACATAATATCTGTCTTGCATTTATTCCATTACAGGGGTTTTATAGCTCAAAAATGCCTTAAAATATATACATTTTTACCACGTGCAGGCTTGCTTCTCCATAGATCTTACCATTAACTTATCTTCATTGTGATAACCAAGTTTATTTAATGTGGAACAATCAAGGCAAAGCAGTAACATCTCCATGGAGACAGTGGAGGACATCTGACACACAGGGACATTTCAGAACATCTTGGTAGAGATCTAAACTACAGGATTAATAGCAGTTTTAACACAGAGTAAGGCACCATGGAGACACAGGTAGGGCATCTGACACACAGAATAAGGCTACATGCAGACTGCAGCCTGAAGTGACCCAAATTGGACTTTTTCGCCCCATGTGACCTGTATCTGATCTTTTAATGACAGTCTAAACGACACAGATCAGATTTTTTCAAATGCGACCCAGGACACTTGGATATGTGCACCTTAAAACAATACATATTCCATCTTTTGACATGTGACTTCAGTCTGAACGTCCAGGTCACATTCATCCCACCTACATGTCAGGCTCAGACTCTAGTCAATGGAGGGAAAGCGAGGTTAGTGAGTTCACATACAAGTGACCAACGACCTCACAAAAAATCTGATTTCACAAAAAAGATCTGCATTGAGCATTAAGCCCTGCAGTCTAAATGTAGACTAAGACTTTATAGAGACGCAGAGACATAGTTTTCAAAGAGAACATTACATTTCCCTCGTATACTCAAACCACATATCAACAATATGACCTGATTTTAACCTTCTTACATTGTTGTTTTGCAGCGCTTCATCCAGTACTTGGCCTCTCGAAACTCTCTTTTCAACCTCAACAACTTCCTGGACAAAGGAGCTCTCCAAGGTACCTCTTCTCCTCCTCCACACATCATCACAGAACGTGCACAAAATCTACACAAAACTCAATGCTTTTAAGACCATGGAGTTATCTTTAGCTTTTTTCAGTTGCTTTTAAAACATAATTTCCTCTTACCTCCGCTCTCTTAAAATGTTCTATTACGACTCTGCTTTTTGTCCGTTCAGTTCAGTACAGTTTGGTCTTCGAGTAAAGCTCTTGTTACTAATGCATTTTCAAGTGTTTTTGATAAACAACATAGAATGTAGTGTTTTGATACTAGGAAACAGACTTGATACTCAGTACCAATTCTGATACCATGATGATTATAGAAAACACTCTTTAGACAATAGAATGTGATTTTCAACATTAAAGGTCCAATATGATGCAAAATGTGCCCTTGTGATGAGCTGTTAGTCATGTTAGAATGTGGTTACCTCTCAAAAACACACCTGGAGTTGTGTTTTGTTTCATTCACACATGTTTGAGTAATCCTTTATCATTAGTCTGTCTACATCCCCAAAGCTCAAAATGCTCTGTTCCACCTTGTGATGTCATATAGTGGTAGCTTTCAAGTTAACAGCTTCTTTTACCTACAGTAGAGATTAGTAAATGATTCTAGTGAAGGTGCATGGAGTTTAAAAACACGCACTTCCTGTATAGGGTTTTTGCTATACTATGCAACAAAGTAATTTGCTCTCTTTTCTCTCACTCTCTTCATCCTCTCTTTTCTCTTTCTCTCACTCTCTTCTCCTCTCATCCTCCTCTTCCTCTCTCTTCTCCCACTCTCTTCATGCTCTCTCTCTCTCACTCTTTTCTCACACTCTCTTCTTCTTCTCTTCCTTCTCTTCCTTTCTCTTTTCTCCCACTCTCTTCACCTCTCTCTCTCTCTCTCTCTCTCTCTCTCCCTCTATCTATCTATCTATCTATCTATCTTTTCTCCCACTTTTCTCCCACTCTCTTCTTCCTCTTTTCCGTCACTCCCTCTCTCTTTTCTCTCACTCTCTTCATCCTCTCTTTCTCTTTTCTCCCACTCTCTTCTTCCTCTCTTCCTTCTCTTCCTTTCTTTTTTCTCACACTCTCTTCACCTCTCTCTCTCTCTCTCTCTCCTCTATCTACCTATCTATCTGTCTATCTTTTCTCCCACTTTTCTTCCACTCTCTTCTTCCTCTCATCTTCCTCTTCCTTTCTTTTCTCCCACTCTTTTTATCCTCTCTCTCTCTCTTTCTCTTTTCTCCCACTGTCTTCTTCCTCTCTTCCTTCTCTTCCTTTCTCTTGTCTCCCACTCTCTTCACCTCTCTTTCTCTCTCTGTATCTATCTATCTATATTTTCTCCCACTCTTCTCCCACTCTCTTCTTCCTCTCTCTATTCTCCCTCTCTGTTTTCTTTCTCTCCCTCTTCCTCTCTCTTGGTCTCCCAGGTTACGACATGTCGACTTTTATTCGCCGTTACAGCCGATACCTGAATGAGAAGGCCATGTCCTACAGACTGGTGGCAGTGGACTTCACCAAGATGAAGAGAGGGTACGTAAGAAAGAGAAAGGGAAGGAGGGAAAGAGATTGGGGGAGGAGAGGTGGAGAGAGAAAAACATGGAGATCAGGGAAGGAAAGGAGGGATTATTGAAGAGAGGAGAGCCGTGTCCTGCAGATTGGTGGCAGTGGACTCAACAGAGGAGAGAGAGAGAAGATAGATGGAGGGAAAGAGAAAGAGAGGGGGAGAGAGGAGACATGGAGGAAGGAAAGGAGGGAGGAGGAAAGAGAGGAGAGCTGTGTCCTATAGGCTGGTGGCTGTGGATTTCACCAAATTGAAGAGAGGGTATGTAAGAAAAGACAGAGAGAGAGAAGAGAGAGATGAGAGATGGAGGAAGAGAGAGAGAGAGACAGAGAGCGACAGAAAGACAGAGACACACAGAGAGAGAGAGAAAGAGACAGAGACACACACACAGAGAGAGAGAAAGAGACAGAGAGAGAGACAGAGACACAGAGAGAGACAGAGAGAGAGAGACGCAGAGAGAGAGAGAGAAAGAGACACACACAGAGAGAGAGAAATAGAGAGAGAGACAGAGAGACACAGAGAGAAAGAGATGGAGAGAGAGACAGATAGAAAGAGACAGAGAGACACAGAGAGAGAGAGACAGACAGACAGAGAGAGAGAGAGAGAGAGAGAGAGAGAGAGACAGAGACACAGTTTCAGTTTTGTTTTTGGTGCTCTGAGTCCCCCCTCTCCTTGCTCTCTGTGCTAAGTCACTCCCCTTTCAGAGTGAAAGAAAACTCCAAAAAGTTTATTTTACCTAAGACTTAGATTCGCACTAAGTGGGACTAAACCAGGACTAGGAACAGGATGGTATTATAGATTAAGATGGTCTCAAAAACTCAAGAGAAAATACAAAATGGATTTAAACAGCACAGCAGTCTGTGATCAATATGGAGGCGTATGGTCCCATTTAGATGTTTAATTTCAACAAAAAAGTGAGTGAAAACCTGTGGCACAGATGCATTTTTCTCCTTTTTTCTGTCCAGAGTGGATGGAGTAATGAGAACCATGAACACAGAGAAACTCATCAAGACATTACCCATTATTCAGAACCAGCTCGACGCACTGCTGGATTTCCAGGTACGTAACCACGGCAACAGTTAGGCTAAAAACATAAGTACATTTATTTGTGCTTTAATAGAAATCACACTTATTTGAAAAAAGGATTTATGTAAAAAGTGAACCGGTAGGCCTAGAAGAAGAATATAGAACAGGTCTTGCTCCGGGTTTTTAGAGGCTGAAATAAGTTGCATTCAGGTTTTAGAATTTAACAATAGCATGATTTCACAAAACTCTATGGGAGAGTTACTATTTTTAAATAAAATCTCCAAACGTATGATCCACAAATGTTGAAGCATAGCACAGAAAAGTTTAATGCCAGACTGTGGAACATTTTGGCAGTTGCATCTCTCTGGACACAAGCAAGTGCCAGACACTCCACCCGAGTCACATAGTGCACTTTTAATTTGGGTTTAGTATTTATCATAGAGTTGCACATCACATCAGGTTTGTGAAGTTGTAGTGTCTTGTTTTGTATCATGTTTTTGTATATTTCTGGAGAATTGTCGTGTGGGAGCATGGGGTGATATAGGTTTGGGGACGGAGCCTTGTACAGAATCTTACAACTAAACATAAAGAGGATTTGAATAGGGCTTAGGAGAGATCACTAAATTGCTCAAACATGTATGGATGACATCTAAAACCACTTCAAGCATGTTTTTGATGAGGAAACAGCGTTATAATATGATAGAAAAGTCAATTTTGCGTATTACCCCCTCTTTATGACCTATTATAAATAAATAATAACTTTATCCTGTTATACAAATATTCTGACACTGACTTCAAAGTGCACTGTGGAACTTTTCTGGTGGAGGGTCGCCACTTGCTTGCCTCCATGGAGATGTCATTATTTTGCCTGGAATGTTCCATGGTATGACATTAAACATTAGCCAGGCTGGTGCCACCTAGTGCAATTTCATTTCTCTCCAGAGACTAGGTCAGTTATCAGAATACACTACACGGTTTGCAAGAACCCCAGAAGTTGTAGACCGCACACCGGCCAATCAGCGGAGAGCTGTGAAGCCATGACGTCAAACTCAAGCACCTGTCTGGGTTCTTTTGTGATACAGCACAACAAAGCGGTCGAAATGGACGTAGACAAAGCCACACATTCTGTGTTGGCAATGATTCCCGAGACTGAGAGAATGTTTGGTTAATTTTATCAAGGGGAAAGACGTTATTGCCCTTCTTCGTATGGGATTTGGGCCATTAATTACGTCACGAACAAATAGCATCGATTGGTTAAATAAAAAAGTACCCACCTACTGTCAAGTGAACAAATCCTAATGCTGCGAGGTCAGATGGTTTCCACGAAGTGAAACCGGCTGATGAATCAGGCTAATTAAACATATCCATCTGGCATTTATTCATTAAAGACATTTCTATTGCTCAAGAATATAATAATTCTTCTCCACAGATCTGATGGTGGCAGACCCTCTACTAGAAACGTTACGCAGTGCTCCCTTAAAGTAGTTTCAGTTTTATAGTTGTTCTTTTCTTGCCATATTTTTTGTAGCTGTATATTTTACCGAGTTTAAAATGTGCTCAGAATCCCATTTGAAAGTTTGTGCTGTGAGCAGAGCAGAGGGCTGGGTGGAGGTTTACAGAAATTGTTGGCTGCCTTGTGGTTTGGAGCAGGACGCTTAAAAATGAATGAAGTTTCTCTTTGGTGTTTTGTGGTTTTTCTCTGCTTCCTGGAAAGCTCAAGTTTAAGAAAAGCCATTCAGTGTAGTTTAGGGAAAAAAAGTCCAAAAAGAAAAGAATGATCTGAAAATGCCACGCTGATTTCCACATTTAAAACTAAGAATTTAACATAGTATTTTTGTGATTGTTGTTACAGATTGCGCAGTATCAAGTTCTGGCTCTCATAAAACAAATAATATGAAATTGGCAAGGTCATATGGGACAAAAATTAAACCGCAGATTTTTACTGTCTTATACTGTCCTATATTTGACGCTTGTAAGCTTTAAGACATTTTAGAATCTAGTTACCTCCTCAAAAACATACCGTATTTTTCGGACTATAAGACACACTTAAAATCCTTTAATTTTCTCTTCTTTTTTTCAGCACTTATAGTTTATGCAAATTAGCCATGTGGTTTTAAGTTTTGTTTCTGTAAAACGTAAACAAATGTCCGCAAAGCTTCGTTAAACACATTATTACTCAATGTGTATTTGAGTCTTCTTCGTAGGAAATAAAAAAAAAATAACTTAAATTATCCGCCCACACATTCATAATACACATCCACCAAGACAGGGAGGCAACGCCGGGCAAATTACGCCACGATCTGCCAATTGATCGTGGATGCCTGGGCTGAGGGATCAGTCTCAAGTGTCGTCCATTTGCTTTGCTTAATGCGCCTTATAATCTGGTGCGCATTATGTGTGAAAATAAATGGGAGAATTCAACATTACTGATATTGCGTCTTATAATCCGGTGCGCCTTATAGTCTGAAAAAAATTGTGGAAATTGTGTTTTGTTTCATTCACACATGTTTGAGTAATCCTGCTTTAGTAGTCTGTCTATATCTCTAAAGCTCAAAATGCTCTGTTCCACCTTGTGATATCACGAAGCGGAAGTTTTCAAATTAACAGTTTTACTTTTAGTTCAGTAAAGATTGTCAATTCCAGGGCTGAAATCGTCCATTATCATCATTCTAGTGAAGGTGTATGGAGTTTAAAAACACAATAGAGCACTTCCTGTATTACCACATGGCATCACAAGGTGGAAGAATGTTTTCAATTTGACAGAAGAAAAAAGAGATAGATAAGAAAATAAGGTTCTTTCCTCATAATTTAGCTTGTCACATAATAATTTCTGTGTAAACTATAGGAGTTTTTGCCCAGTGTACTAGATAGATGCTAGGTTTTGGAATTCCCTTGCGTGACGTTATTTGTGTAAAAGGTTAAATATAATGATCTCAACTTTGTTTTAGTCAAATGAGTAGTCTAACCTGTCAGGAGCACTTTCACAAGAGTCAAAACTTAGTTATGATTTGACAACTCAGCTCAGCAACTTTTTTTGGTATTTTTTCCCCACAAACTGCTACTTAACTGATGTAAAACAATGATGAATATTCACCACAGGTACCAACTCACCAAACCAAGTCATAATTCTCCATTGCTGGTTTTGTTTTTCTCTGAGCTCCTGTAAGTTCTTGTTTGTGTTTTTAGGCCAATCCAAACGAGCTGACCAATGGTGTGATAAACTCTGCCTTCATGCTGCTGTTCAGAGACTCCATTCGGCTGTTCGCGGCCTACAATGAAGGAGTCATTAACCTGCTCGGTAAGTCCTCCCTGTCATGGAAAACTGTGTAGAAAGCAGTAGTGGAAGAAGTACTCAGTGTTGGTCATTACAGTACAGTACAGATGCAGGAGCAAAAATAATACTCAAATAAAAGTAAAAGTATCACGTGAAAAATCTGCTTAAGTAAAAGTATTGAAGTACCTGTTTAAAATGTGCTTAAAGGTGCACTGTGTGATGTTTCTGGTAGAGAGTCTGCTCTAACACAATGTTTGTCAAAAATCACTAATATTCAGATTGATTTTTGTGTTTGTGATGCTAACACCTCTACATTTTTGTTTTTGCAGAGAAATATTTCGACATGAAGAAAAACCAGTGTAAAGATGCGTTGGACATTTATAAAAAGTTCCTGTACAGAATGACCAAACTCTCGGAGTTCCTCAAAGTGGCAGAGGTACTTTCACTTTCCTGCAAAGAATATTACTGGGGTATTATCTCTAATCTCTAAATGAGGTCCTGAATACAACTTTCAGGATGTAGCTTCAAAATGACACGTTACCATCTATTTTTATGACATTATTTGCATTTAGATTGGCAAAAGAAATCACTAGAATTATTGTGGGAAAAATGTAATCTATATCAGTATTATATCAGGAATTAATAATAGTCAAAAGTTGCAGTAGTCGCAGCAGTAATAGTAGTAGCAGTAGTAGTAGCAGCAGCAGCAGCAGCAGTAGTAGTAGTAGCAGTAGCAGTAGTAGTAACAGTAGCTGTAGCAGCTATTGAATAGTAGCAGTAGTAAAAATTGCAGTAGAATTATAGTAGTAGCAGTAGTAGTAGTCACAGCTGTAGCATAAAAAAAAAGTAGAAGCATTAGCAGTAATAGATTTAGCAGTATTAGAAGTACCAATAGTTGCTATAGTTGTAGTAGTTCTTAGAAAGATCTGTCTGTGATGATGTAGTAGTAGTAGTAGTAGTAGTAGTAGTAGTAGTAGTAGTAGTAGTAGTAGTAGTAGTAGTAGTAGTAGTAGTAGTAGTAGTAGTAGTAGTAGTAGTAGTAGTAGTAGTAGTGGTAGTGTAGTGTAGGAGCAGTAGTAGATTTAGTAGTAGAAGTGCCAACAGTCACCATAGTAGCAGTAGTAACAGTAGTAGTGACAGTAATAGATTTAGTAGTAGAAGTACCAACAATCACTATAGTAGTAGTAGTAGTACTAGTAGTCGTTATAGTAGTACTAGTAACTGTAGTTACTATAGTAGTAGTAGTAGTAATAGTAGCAACAGTAGTAGTGACAGTAATAGATTTAATACCAGTAGTTGCTATAGTAGTAGTAGTAGTAGTAGTAGTAGTAGTAGTAGTAGTAGTAGTAGTAGTAGTAGTAGTAGTAGTAGTACCTTTAGTTGTTATCATAGTAGTAGTAACTGTAGTCACTATAGTAGTAGTAGTAGTAGTACTAGTAGCTGTAGTCGCTATAGTGGTAGTAGTAGTAGAAGATTTAGTAGTCGCAGTACCAATAGCTGCTTTCATAGTAGTAGATTAGTAGCAGATTAAGTAGCAGTAGAAGCACCAGTAGGCGTTATAGTAATAATAGTAGGAATAGTAGTACATTTAGTAGTAGAAGTACCAATAGCTGCTATAGTAGTAGTAGTAGTAGCAGCAGTAGTAGTAGTTTGCAGTAGTTGTTAGAAAGGCTGTTAGAAATGGCTGCCCTACATTCCCAGTACATAAGTGTACATAGAGTACAGTATGCAGACCTAAAATAGCCTGTGGAGGGAGGCTAATGCTAACGCTAGTGTGCCCTGCCCTGACAAAGATGGATGCTCCTCGGTGCACAGGGCCTTCCCAGCATGCTCTCTGCTCCTGCATCTTCAACACACCACAAACTATGAACATGACCCGTGATTCTTTAAAGTACTGCCTTATAAAAATAGGTTTAAACTGGTTTGAAAATGACGACTGAGCAAGATCCAAACCAGGAAAACCAGGATTAAACCAGAAGTAAATCAGGGCTAAAACCAAGGTTTAGCCGTGGGTAAAACCAAGACTAAACCAGGGCTAAACCAGGACTAATCCAGGATTTAACTAGATCTAAAACCAGGACTAATCCAGGACCAAATAGCACCAAACCAGGACTAAAACCAGGACTGAACCAGGACTTAACCACAACTAAAACAGATCTAGAACCAGATCTAGAACCAGGTCTAAACCAGGGCTGAATCAGGATCAAACACAGACCAAACCGGGACCAAACCAGATCTAAAATCAGGACCAAATAGGTCTAAAACCAGGACTAAACCAGAACTAAAACCAGGGCTGAACCAGGACTAAACCAGGGCTGAACCAGGACCGAACCAGGACCAAACACAGACCAAAAAGGTACCAAACTGTGACCAAACCGTGACCAAAACGGATCTAAAACCAGGACTAAACCAGAACTAAAACCAGGGATGAACCAGGACTAAACCAGGACTAAATCACGACTATTCCAGGATTTACCCAGATCTAAATCCAGGACTAATCCAGGACCAAACAGCACCAAACCAGGACTAAAACTACGACTAAAACCAGGACTAAAACCAAGACTTAACCACAAGTAAACCAGATCTAGAACCAGGTCTAAATCAGGACTGAACCAAGACCAAACCACGACCAAACCTGAACCAAAACCGATCTAAAACCAGGACTAAACCAAGACTAAGCCAGAATTAAACCAGAACTCATCAAAATTTAAACCAGGACTAAGTAACATGAGCTATTCTGAGTCCCCATTTAAAATACATAAATAGTTTGAGTATTCATGATGATTTTAAACCCAGAGTGTGAGCTGGGGCAGAGCGCAGGAGAGTGAGCGCTCCCTATCTCCTCCTTTTGTCTTCTATAATTATGTCCAGACCAGCCCCAAAGCCATAATTATATTTGAGACGTTTAAATTAAAACAATAGTGCCCCATTGTGTAGGAGTCAATAATTAGCTTTCTATTTTTAGGCAGATTACGCTACTTTAAGAGACTGAGATACTGCAAAAGCCTCATTTGAAGTGGATGGTATGAATTAAGTTGATAAATGATGTTTTAAAGACATGTTTTATTTGGTAAAATTGGTTAAAAATTGGCTTTTCCACAACATTACATATGAAATTGTTTAAAGAGCCTGTATTACTCAAAACTGACTCTTGTGAGCGTTAAGACTTGTTAGAAAATTGTATCTCCATCACAAACAGACCTGGAGTTGTGTTTTATTTCATTCACACATGTTTGAGTTAGGGATGTAACAATAACCGAAATATTGTGATATCGTATTGTCAAAAACCTCACAATAATATCGTGGGCTGTCACAATATATCGAATTACAAGTTTCTTTGCTTAAATGCTTTTTTTAATAGTAGCAATAGTTAATAAACATAGAGAACTACATATCCCATGATTCATTTCAGCGCAGACAACACGAAGAAATATGTTTTTTACTTGAATTCTTGAGATTCTGACAGTAATAACTCACCAAAATCTTGTCAAGGTATTTTAAAAGCCAAAAAGTGTCTTATCTACAGTTATATCAGCCTTTCTAAAATATCGCAATAAATATCGTACCGTGAGATTCATATTGTGATTATATCGTACTGAGAGATTTAGATCGTTACATCCATTTGAGTAATCCTTTATTGTTAGTCTGTCTATATCTCCAAAGCTTAAAATGCTGTGTTCTACCTTGTGATGTCATGAAGTGGTAGTTTTCAAATTAACAGCTACACTTTACCTTTAGTTCAGTAGAGATTGGAATTTCCAAAGCTGAAATGATCCAAATGATTCTTGTTGAGGCGTATGGAGTTTAAAAACACAGTGGAGCACTTCCTGTATGACATGACATCACAAGGTGGAACAAAGTGTTTTATTTACAACTCCAGGTCTGTTTGTGATGAGAAAACAACATTATAACAGATCAGAAAATGGTGTAATATGGGCCCTTTAAAACCTACCTAATAATTAATATCACAAAAGACATGATTTAAAGCGGCACTATGTAACTTTGCCCGTCCCTCATCTGCTTGTTTCCATGGAGATACCAACTGCTGTGCCTAGAATGTTCCACAGTATTGCATTTAACAGTCTAGCTCCATAGAAACAAAACCAGGACAAATTACACATCAAGACTTCATGATTTTCAAGGTATTTTTGAGCATTAAAAAAGTAAAACCAACATTTGAATAGTTGCAAGAAAGATAAATTTAATGGCGAACTGTGAAACATTCCAGGGAAAACAATAACATCTCCATAGAAACGAGCAGAACAAGATGTCGGACTCCTCAGCCCTGAAAAGTTGCATAGTACGTAAAAACACTTGACTGATTTGATTGTGAAAAGTTATTAAAATGTATAATTCCTAAATATTTTGTTCAAATTTATGTCTAAGTAAGTCCTAGTCCAAAAATGTCCCTGTTATAATTGTGTCACCCATTACCCATAATCCACTTGTCTTCCTCATTGGCCATGTTCCGTAATGTCACTTTAAAGTTTGGTTTTGGTCCGATCCAAATCTTCATTCACAGATTTTCATGTTTATTTCTGTTGTTTACGTTTTGGTCACTGCATGAATAACGGATCCTGAATTCTCCATTTGACCCCACCCACCTCCTCTTCTTCTCCTCTTACTCTCTGCTTCTCTTCGCTCTTCTCCTCTTCCTCCTCCTCTTCCTTTTCATCTGCCCTCTCCCCTCTTCCTCTTCTCCTCATCTCTCCTCTGCTCCTCTCTCTCTCCTTTCCTCCTCCTCTCCTACCCCCTTCTTCTTTATTTTCCTTCCTGACCCCCACTCACCCTCTTCCTCTCTCTCTTTCATCCCTCCTTCCACCTTTTCTCTGTGCCTCCTCTCTCTTTTTCTCCTCTTCTCTTCCTCCTCTCTCTCTCCGCTCTTTCCTCCTTTCCTTTCCTCTCCTATCCACCACTCTTCTCTTGTCTTCCTCCCCTTTCTCTCTTCTCTCCTCCACTTCTTCCTTCCTTTGACCTCCACCCCCTCCTTCCTCTCCTCTTTCCTTCTTCTCTTATTCCTCCTCTCTTCTGTTACACCTGCTTATCTTCCCTCATCTTCCTCCTCTTTCCTCTCCCCCTCTTCCTCCCCTCATCCTTATCCCCTGCTCCCTTCTTCTTCTTCTTCTCTCTTCTCCTTTTTCCTCTCCTCCTCTTCCCTCTCTCCTCTGCTCTTTCACCTCCTCTCCTCCTCCTCCTCTTCCTCTTTATTTTTTTATTTCTCCATTTTGACGACAGCAAGTTGGAATAGATCAGGGGGACATTCCCGATCTCTCACAGGTCAGTGCTCATTTCATAATCAACTTTATTTTGATTTCATTTGAAATTTCTGTTTGTTTTTTTTTCCTTGTTTGTCTCCTTTTGTCATGTCGCCATTTTTCATATTACTGTAAAACTATTCTGGTGTCTCAAGACCGCACTGAAAATCTACAGTACAAGTACAATGCAGTCTTATCTTACAGAAAATGGACTCTTGTGAGCTTTTGGCCATGTTATAATGTTGTTATCTCCTCTAAAATAGATCTGGAGTTGTGTTTTGTTTTATTCACACATGTTTCAGTAACACTTTATTATAAGTTTGTCTACATCTCCAGAGCTCACAATACAGCTCCTTTTACCTTTAGTTCAGTAGACATTAGTAGTACATTTACATGATGTGTTTTTAATTCCAAATTAATTTTTCTGAATTAAATAGTTCAGAAATAAAATATTTTCCTTCGAGTGTACAAGGAAATAATAATTCCGAAATGAGCTTTACATTGAAAACATGTTAACTCGCCTTTATTTAAGAAAACAAGAAGAAAGAAAACACACACTTCAGCTGCTACCAGCTTTTTTGTCATCTTGGTTTGTTGTTACGCCACAGACACAAACATGATACAAACCATGATTGTCCAGGTCACGTCAGAATGGCAACCAAACGAGCATGCGCTGAACAACCGGAATTATTTTTAAGAAGAATAAGCGTTTACATGATCGAGGAATACATTAATTTGACTTCAGTATCAGAATAAACCACCCACTTAATTATTAATAAACATTTTCATTAGGAATTAAGTGTTTAGGGGTGTCAAACACTCGGCCTGGGGGCCAAATCTGGCCCTCCAAGACCTTTAATCTGGCCCTAATTTTCTGCGCCGTTTATCATAGCAGCATCTCCAGCGCCTCTGTACGTGGACACCTTCCAACAGAGCAGCACAAATGAAGACTTGCCTCTTTCCAAACGCTCTTAAAGGACGATCGTTTTGACTGTTGACCGTGACACCCTCATCAGCAAAATGTCAAAAATGAAAAAAGTGGACGCCGAGTGCAAGATTTTCCAAGAAAAATTTACTTATTCCTGTTTGTTAAAGTTAAAACATTGTGTTGAAATTGCATTTTTCTTAAAGTTTCAGGTTGTTCATAATATTATAATATTTTGTAACAGAAAGAGTTCATCAATTAAAAAAGATGTTTGTAATAGATTAGCGTTTCTCTGCACAAATATTTGAACTTATTGCTATTTTTGGGTTTATATGCCATGAGTTTTCTGATCCGGCCCCTTTGGGATCAAAGTAGGTTGGATATGGCCCCCGGACCAAAATGAGTTTGACACCCCTGGTTTACATGTTTTTTTTTTTATCTGAATTAATTTTTATTCAGAATTAAGTCATTTTTATTCGGAATTAAATCTCTAATGTAAACGTGGCAATTGTCAATCCCAGAGCTGAAATTATCCAAATGATTCTAATGAAAGTGTATGAAGTTTAAAAACACAGTGGAGCACTTCCTGTATGACCACATGATGTCACAAGTTGGAGGGTTTTCTGTTTGAGAGAAGAACTCAGCCTAAATATGCAGGGTTTGTGTGTTTAAACATGTGTGAATGAACAAAACAAATCACAACTCCAGATATGTTTGCGATGAGGAAACAACATTATATCATAGCTCAGAAAACAGCACAATATGAGCCCTTTAAAATCAGGTACGGGCTCTTTAAATGAACTTTATGTGACCTTAATATTTGAGCGTGAGTAGAGCAGTGGAGAAGGCAGAACAGTGCTTCTCCAGCTCTATAGCCTCCACAGTATTAAATATAGATGCTCAAAACTGAAGAAAAAAACTAAGAAACTTCTGACTGGAAAAAGGAGAATCACCTCTGCCTCCTACAGAACAAGTGTCCTCACATCGCCCCAGACTTCACTCCAACCAGCCTGAAGTAAACCTCTGGAAACCTTTTTTTGACTAACTAAAGGTGCATTGTGTAACTTTTCTGGTGGAGAGTATGTAAAACGCTTTTCTCCATGGAGATGTTATTGCTTTGACAGGAATGTTTCACAGTATGGTATTAAACCTTTCCATCTTCATGAAGACCAAACAGTTACAGGTCAGGTCTGTGGAAAGGCTACCCCACTCACAGTCAGAATGTTGTTTTTCTGAGTATTTTTGAGCTATAAAACCACCTGTTATTGAAAAAATGTAAGGTAGAGCTGTTTAATCTCATACTGTAGAATATTCTAAGCAGAGCAATGGCATATCCATAGAAAAAAGCAGGTGACAGAACCATAACCAAAAAGTTACACAGTGCATCTTTTAACTATTTATTCTAAGCTTGTATGGATTTCAGTGTTAATTTTTAGTGTAATGATTAGTCTGGTGGTGGTGGAAACATAACAAAATATACAAAACATATACTCCAGATTCTTGAGACCATGACCATGTAAATATAGATAAAAGACTGAATATATAGATAAAAAATTACATATGCAATGTGAAATATATAATGTAATTAAAAATTGCCTTAATAAAGCATGAGCAAAGACTTCATTCATACTGAACAAATAGTTATTAAGAATAACTGAGGTTTAGTAATTACTTAAAGAGTTAAAATTACACTATAGTCTGTTATGATGTTGTTTTTTTCGTTACAATCAGACCTGGAGTTGTGTTTTGTTTCATTCACACATGTTTATCACACATGTTTTTCTCTCAGTTTTTCTCTCTGACCGAAAACACTCTGCTCCACCAAGTTGTGATGTCATGTAGCTGTTAACTTGAAAACTACCTACTGCTTGATGACATCGCAAGGTGGAACAGAGCATTTTGAGCTTGAGATGTAGACAGACTAATAATAAAGTGTTACTCAAACATGTGTGAATGAAACAAAACACAATCCTGAGTATGTTTTTGAGGAGGTAACAGCATTATAACATTGCCTGCTTGTCTCCATGGAGATACGTTTAATGCCATACTGTGAAATATTTTAGGCTAAGCAATAACATCTCCATGAAAACAAACCAATGACAGACCCCTAATCTCAAAAGGTTCACAGTGCAGCTTTAAGACGTACATATTGTTACAGTTTGTATTGTATTGTATTGTCTTGATGCTTTTTCATTGCGGTCTTATACACCTCAATAGTTGATCTTCCTCTTTACTGTTTTTCATTTGAACTTCTCTAAATCTAACTCATGTGTGCAGCTCTCTCAGCTCTGATAATTCAGCTTTTTTCCTTCTAAATCCTGTTTATAATAACATGCCTAACACAGGTTTTAGCAACAATTTAACAGCAGCAAAAAGGCAAAGACTGCAAAGATTCACCAAAGCCAACGATTTTCTATACACACAGTTGTCCACATTGATTTTATGTGTTTTAATTTAACGTTACGGTCTTGCTGGGTGAAAGGTGAGTGAAGTGCCTTGCTCAAAAACACAACACACACAGTACGGGATTGAACTGTTAACCTGGGGCTTGAGGATATGATGCCAGCATGTGTTTTATAATATACATGTTTTTAAGTAAATTATCGTATATATATTATTATTTTTTATATATATAATTTGCTTTTATTTGGTCTAATATAATAAATGTGATTGTAGACTTAAAAATGCAATGTGTAACTTTTCTGTTGGTGATTATGCTACTTGTTTATCTCCATTTCTTTGCCTGGAATGTTCCACAGTGGGCTTTAAGCATATTTCTCCAGCCTTTATTCAATTACAGCATTTGTTATTGCTTAAATAGACCATTTGTAACATGGTTCGGGCTTGCCTCTCCGCTGATCTGACCAGTAACTCGGCATCACCTGCTAAATCTAAATAAAATTTGTTTAATCTCATACTGTGGAATATTCTAAGCACGAAAATACTTCTCCACGGAGACAAGCAGCTCCTCCAGAGAAGCTTCAAAGTGCAATTTTAAATCAGATGTTTTGTTTTGTTTTTATGCTTGGAAAGAATTATATCTTTTAAAAACCTTATTAATTTTACTATCTTTAAGTGATACATGATTCTTACTTACTGTTACTAGAAAGTTGCAAAAAAACTAATTTTCTCCATAAATTGCATATAAAATCTGAAATCTTTTTCCTGCCTGATGGACCATTAGTTAAATCGTACTGCTTTTCAGCGGCAGTCTGATGTGTAACTCTGTGGGAGTTAGAATCTCAACAGGACTTTTAAAGACTCATTTTTGTTATGTTTTTCTCTCTCACTGCTGCAGAAAACTAAAGGGACTTATCTCGTAGGTGGAGGGACTTCTGCATGAACGCCTGAGCATGTTTTTAGTGTTTCTGTCTATGTATTCAAATCATGTGTGGGAATCATAGAATGTATAGTGGACTGAGGGAGTGTGACGTCACCTGTAGCTTTAGGTCGCAACCGAATGAATCTCAACAAGACAAGCAGTTACAGCAGCTAATCTGTCACCAGGGACCATATTTGAAAATCTGAGTATGAAACCAAAGAGCCAGTCTGGAGCAAGGTTGTTGAAATGGCCCATCTCATGCAAAATCAACTTTTCAGAGCTTTCTACCTTCTAAGAGTGATGTGTGGGCCTTGTATATGTCGCCGAAGTGGTTTTTATATTGATTTGGCGTTTGTTAACAAATTGCAGCATATTTCTGCCATCCTCCCATGTGACAACAAACTAAAACCTGCTGCAATGATGACGCGACCAACTACACCGATGACACGTTTGACGTAGCAGAGAGCGATTCCTCCCCCGCTCCACCTCCTCCGCCCCGCCTCCACCCCACATCAGCTGACAATTCCCACATGAACACCTAAACAAAAGTGACAGCATAAGCTCATTGTTCTACAATGTAGTGTACACGATATAATAAGTTTATCTACTAGTGTTTATTAATACTTTACCAATCAGTAATGTTCAGCTGATGTCGACGTGGTGCTTGAGTTTCGTGCACCTCAAAGTCCTCGTCCGATTCCAGGTCCAACACATGCGGCTGAACGCGCTGTATCACCATGATGAATAAAAGTTTATTCCTACCGCTATCAGGGTGCGCACCTGTCTCCCCCTCCCTCCCTGAGCTGGGCGGAGGAAGGGCGGCTCACTCAGAGCCTACGTCACGTTTGGAGGGCGGAGCCTGTGTTTTCTCAGGACATGCGGGGGGATGAGCAATAGTCGGCCTTTCATAGTTCCTGGTCTGTGATGCCTCCAAGAAATCAGTAAGATTTCATAACTATTGTGTAATGGATGTTCCAGAACCCAAATTGTGCTTGTATATGTGCAGAAGATACAATGTTAAAAGAGTTATTTTGCATGAGATGGGCCCTTTGAAGGTACGCGCCCCTTTCCGCCGACATCGCTGGTGTAGGAGGGGACAAGTGCTTAGCTACGAGGCTGACAGTGAACCTGTTCCTAACACTGGCGGTAATAAATATTTATATCTTTATTTAGGGATAAAATAGTGGAATAAAAACACCAGGATGATGTAGAGTAGGAACAGGGGTAGAGCCAAATGACAAGGCTCAAAGCAGCAGTTACACAGAGGGTGGAAGATTTTTTTAAGCTGGGAGGAATCACTTTGCGCCAATACTCTCTTCTTATTTGGAAGGTGGTGGCTAGTACTTTGTCCATATACAGTCTATTTTTCACCCATGTCATTCACAGGGTATCCCCAAATTTGAGACTTTTTTAAGACCTTTTTTAGACCACTTAAATGAAAATTAAGACCAATATCGCACCCATTATGCGCACGGAAAACACCAGATCCAATTCTATTAATGACCAAACAACTAGCGGTACAATATCTAGAATCTAAGAGCCTCTGTGGATTAAATAACCCATCCATCATCTTCCTCCACTGTACTGATTGTTTACTCATTGCCGCTGTTGCCAGAAACCAAGTATTTTTTGCGCATACTCCAAATTAGATGTAGACATAATTTAAGACTTTTTAAGGCCTTAATTTAGGAACATGAAATAAAACGAAAGACCTTTTTAAGACTTTTAAGACCCTGCGACCACCCTGCATTCAGCTTCAGTCAAATGAAGCTAATCGAGTCTAGCAGTTATAGCGTCTAATTTGGCGCCAAGATCCATATTTGGCATGTGCGTTTATCATAGCAACCAAAAAGCCAATTGAATGTGAGGTTATTGAAGGCCTTTTCTCACCTGCACCACTGGTTTGACTGGGACCTGGCACTTGAAAACAAGCCATGGTAGCTGTCAATCAAAGTTGACTGCTCTGTTATTCATGTCTTGATTAGCATACAAAATAGGGAAATAAACCATCAACTGTGGAGCTCTGGGTGACTTCATACTCCCTCAGTCCACTTCTGTACAGCCTGGGCTCAGGAGAACTCAAACTCACACTCATAGACGAGCTGAAGGCCACAGCCACCGTAAAGAGGGGGTGTTGGGCATATTTGATTTTCTAGAGCCTTCTATCATGTTATAAAGTTGTTCTCTCCTCAAAAACATGCCTGAACAGGTTTTATATGTCATCAATGCATGTTTGAGTAGTTTAGTGATTTCTTCTGGGCCCTATTCAGATCCTCCTTGTGTTTAGTTGTAAGATTCTGTGCAAGACTCCGCCCACAAGTCTACATCACCCATGCTCCCACATGACAATTCTCCATAAATATACAAAAACATGATACAAAACTGTACACAACAACTTGACAAACCTTATGTGATGTGCAGCAGTTTCATGAGCAGGATGCGCGCTGGTTGTGTCGTGATATCACTCTACCCTAGTGAATGCAGTGAGAAGAGAGACAGACTCAGGAGGAAAAGAAAAATCATCATATCATCATCAAACAAGGAAAAGTCTGATAGTGTGGCTCCCCTAGCAGTCTATATTAAGAGTAGACTGGCTACATTATAAAATATAAAATAGCCTGAGTAAAAATTCGATGAATCATTGAACCAACTGAACTAAAACACTTAAAACACATAAAAACTACAGCTGTAAAGTAGTTATACTGTCGTGTATTGTATGTACTGTGTATAATGTTTCATTAATATCATGTTATTATATTATACTCATTAGCAGTGCTTTTCTTTCAAAACATATTGAAATCAAATCTTATTGTGACCTGTGTATTGAATCATGGGAAATGTTAGCAATTAATACCCCATAGAAGTAAAATATTCCCTCTTTAAACCTCTCTCTCGCTTTCTCCATTTGCATGCATTATAAATCCTCTTCACTGCAAAAATATGTCTATCTATCTATACATATTTGAGTCTAAATGAAGATTTGACCACTAGAAAAATTATTTTATAGGTACATCATGTAACTTTTCTGGTGGAGGGTCTATCACCTGCTTTTTCTATGGATATGTCATTGCCCTATCCTTATCCCACAGAATGACATTAAACAGCTCTACCCTACATTCATTCAATCATAGGTGGTCTTATAGCTCAAAAATACCTAGAAAAACAGACATTCTGACTGTGAGCAGGGTTGCTTCTCCACAGATCTGACCTGTAACTTGGTCTAGTTTGGTCTCCATGAAGACAGAAAGAGGTTTAATACCATACTTTGAAACTTTCCAGACAAAGCAATAATATCTCCATGGAGAAAAGCATTTGACGAACCCTCCACCAGAAAAGTTAAACAGTCCTTTAATACTCTAGATGAACATTCTTCATTCAGTCCATATTATAGTTTCCGTGTTTTTGCAGTGTAAGCAGGAGACAGGCCAGTGCATTTTTGTGGAGAGAGGCTCAGACATGACGTTTTCAGATCTCCACACAAGAATTTCCTTTTCTCTTTTCTCAAAACCACCAAAAATGAAACATTATTATTAAAATCCCTCAAGTGGGAGCACGCAAGGAGATTATATTGTACAGTAATGGCAATAATGGCCCACATTCGTGTTCTAAAATCTGATGGTGTCATGATTGCAGATGGAGGGCGGGGCCTGTATAACTATGGAAGAATCACTGTTTTTGTGATAGAAATGTTCAAATTTATGATCCATAAATGTTGGATCTTATCATTATTTGTTTGGGATTAGTACCACAAACTTATCATATTAATCTTTAGGTTTAAAGGTTATATATTATGCAACTCTTGTGAGATTTAAAGGTGCATTGTGTAACTTTTCTGGTGAAGGGTTCGTCAAATGCTTTTCTCCAGGGAGATGTAATTGCTTTGTCTGGAATGTTTCACAGTATGGTATTAAATCTTTCTATCTTTGTGGAGACCTAGCGAGACCGAGTTATAGGTCAGATCTGTGGAGGGACGACGCCGCTCACAGTCTGAAGGCCTGTTTTTCTAGGGATTTTTGAACTATAAATCCACCCAATTTAATAAAAATAAGGTAAAGCTGTTTAGTGTCATACTGTGGAACATTCCAGGCAGAGTGATGACATAGAAACAAGCAACCAAAAAGTTACACAGTACAGCTTTAAGTCATGTTATAATGCTGTTTCTTTGTCAAAAACAGACCTGGAGTTGTGTTTTGTTTCATTTACACGTTTGTGTTCCTTTATTATTAGTCTGTCTACATCTGCGAAGCTCAAATTGCTCTGTTCCTTGTGATGTCATGTAGTGGTATTTCAAGAACTACCTTTTACGTTCAGTAGAGAATGGAAATTCCAGGACTGAAATTACAATGATGAGTGTTTTCTGTTTGAGAGAAGAACTCAACCTAAATATACAGGGTTTTTGTGTTAGACATGTGTGAATGAAACAAAACACAACTCCAGCAATGTTTGTGATGAGGAAACAGGGATGGACTGGGACCAAAAAACAGCCTTGGACCTTTCCCCCACAAATAGGCCTCCCATGGGGGTTTTAAATAATTTCAATACATCAGTAATGAAATAATTGAAAAAACACACAAAGATGAACTACTTCTGTGTATTAACAAAAATATCTAAATCACTTCATTTTGAAGTGGCTTAGCTTTTTTGTCTTTAACGTTTTCCCATCCACCTTTCTCCTTATGTTTTCTGTTCGACATGTTTTAAAACCAACGAGTAAAACATTCTTCTTTATCGCCTTTTAGGCCTTTGCAATTTATGCTTGACAAATGAGCAAATTATCACTGTCTGCTGTTAGTACAGTGGACGGCCGTTCTGGACTTTTCTAGAACGTACAGATTGCCAGTCCACCCCTGTGAGGAAACAACATTATAACATAGAACAGATAATTGAGGATATGGGCTCTTTAAAATTCTTTCAACTGACAGCAATCACGTCTTTGGGATTGAATAATGGCACCACTTTCTGAAACCACTGTTAAAAAAAAAAAAAAGTTTTTGTTTCATGTGGATAGGTTCAATAATTACAGAGATATGAACCATAAACCAGAACAAACAGTTACACAGCAAATTCCACCGGAGTTCTGACCTGTCCTCCAGCTCAGTTTAAAATATAGAGATCTTCAAAACATGACCCAGCATGTATTCTACCTTTTCTTCTTTAGTTTTCCTTTTATTTTCAAAGCCTCTTTTAGCTGCATGTTGCTATGGCTATTTCAACCCTCACTGCAAAAAATAATATGTCTTGAATTCTGACTTTTTATCTTGTTTTTAGTAGTTTTGATGAATTTGATCAATTCATTTTTTTTTTAAATCAAGAAAAAACTCAGTTGAGTTAGAAATTCAATTTAAATAGAAATTAACATTACGATTTTTTTCTGATTGATAAACCTGATAAGTTGAAACCAGTCAGAAATACTTTGACACAAATCAATCAAAACAGCAACAAGTCCTACAGATACAATTACTAATACAAAACCATGAATCTGAATTCAATACATTTTAAAATCATTTTTGCAGTGTTCTATACCTGACTAACTTTGTGCTTTTTTTCTCTGTTTTGTGTGCACTCAGTTGTCTTATGGTCAAAACTTGAAACCTCTTCTTCAGTGGGTTTATTTTTCACTTTGCCTTTTATTTGATGTGTCCCTCACAGGCTCCCAGCAGTCTCCTGGAGGCACTGGAGCAGCACCTGGCTTCACTGGAGGGCAAAAAGACGAAGGAGCTGAGTGCAGACACCAGGTGGGGCTATACATTGCTATCTGATAAAACACTTCCTGATTTATGGACTAAATCCTTCTAATGTGTCTGGGTAGAGATTAAAAGTACCTTAAAGGGACCTTATTGGGCTTTCAGGGAGGTCATGTTTCATAGATATAACAGAAGAGTACACAACCACTTTAAATTGACTTCTGTTTTCAGGGCGTCCACTTTGAACAGCGCAGTCTCGTCTCTGTCCTCCACCGGGATGTCCTTCAGTCGTATGGACGAGAAAGAGAGACAGCAGGCTCTGGAGGAGGAGCAGGCCAGACTACAGGCACTCAAGGTAAGAAAACGAATATGTAACACCAACACCACTACCACCACCAACACCACCACCACCAACAACAACACCCACACCAACAACAACAACACCTTTTCAGACAGTTAAAATACTTTATAATTTTATGCATTATTCATTTACTCCACACTCTGGGGTAAGATACTATTGTAGCCACAGCTGCCCTGTAGCAGACTGACTGAAGTAAGGCTGCCAATCTGCGCTATCGGCTCCTCCCACCACCAACACCACATTCATACACGTGTGGGTGAAGTGTGTGGTCAGACTGATGTAATCTTCTTCAGTCAGACAGCAGTAACATAGGTAGCATCTAGTGCTCACGTTTATATATTATATTATTATATGGTGTTTTTTCCAATGGGTATTTAAAGTGCTTTACAGCAACGAATCCCATTCACACACACAGGGGGTAAAGAAACATGTCTACACTGTATTTTTGCTGTATTTCCCTCATTAACTCTTCCTCATGAATACATACTTATTGGGTTTGGCTGCTTTAATGTGAAGTCTTGAAGTCAAAACAGATTTTTGGTGCATATTTTAGCAGAGCGCTGGCTAGTGTCTCTTACATAATACATTTATCTGAGATCTTCTGAATCTCTGTGTGAATAGTGATGCTGAGCAGTATCTGTGTACCTCTTTATAATGACCTCCTCGCTGTGAGAGCCTCTGTTGGATTTCTCATCGACAGAATGTAAGAACGCGGTAATGAAGCTCTCTCTCAGACTCACGGCGAAAAGGTCAGGCTCAAAATACATGGAATCCATAAGTGTAACTGAGAGACTGCGAGGAGGGAGGGGAACAGCAGGGGACTGACCATAATACTGGAAAAATGTCAAATTATTCATCTTGTTTTAAGTAGATTTGAGCTAAAGTGGGACAAAACACCTGAACACCAAGCAGCAGTAGTAATAGTAGTAGTAAAATGGTGAACTACTACTAATGTTTTTTTTTTTACCTCTTGTTGACATTTTTTCTTAATATATAAAAAAGAATCGTTATTTGATTTGGTTGAAAGTTTCTAACAAGTATTGTGATTCTAAGGTTGGCTATTGATTTTTGAATTCAGGATTCGGTTTATTGTGCACAAAACTGAAATTTGAACTTTAAATGAATCCAAGTGTCCCACGCATTTCAGAACATGTGTGTAAAGGTCTAAACTACAGTGTTAGCAGCTTTTACCCAGAATAAAAGTATAATGAACATTTAATATCAGCTTGCACTATAGTTATCACATATTTTCAGTTGTTGTTGCATAGCCTGTGAGGTAGTTTTGCCATACTGCTGTGTTGTTGATATCTAAACTGTGTAAAATGGGGACAAATGTGTTTGAGAGAAAATGAGTTGTGAGAGTGGAGCCTTTGGCCTTGATCTGAGCTCCTGCTGTGAAGCTCGTCTCAAAGGGAAAGAGCCAAGGCCATTCCACCACCACTGCTCAAAACCACTCAAAACTGCACCCTCTTTGCACAAGGACACACAGATCACTTTAAGTTAGTTTACCCAAGTCTCTGCGAGCTGTAAAAAGCAACATTTATCTTCTAGGGCTTGGAAGGGATGTCCAGATTACAGATTAAAGCCCCTATGACAGGTTGGACTATTACAAACTGAAGACTGTCATATTCAAAGATACACTGTGTAACTTTTCTGGTGGATTGTCTGTCAAATGCTTTTTTCCATGGAGATGTTATTGCTTCTTGTTATTATTATTGTTTCACAGTGTGGTTTTAAACCTTTCTGTCATCATGGAGACCAAACCAGACCAAGTTACAGGTCAAATCTGTGGAGTGGCAACCCTGCACACAGTCAAAATTCCTGTTTTTCTAGGTATTTTTGAGCTGTAAAATCACCTGTAATTGAGTAAATGTAAAATAGAGCTGTTTAATGTCATACTGTGGAACATTTCAGGCAGAGCAATGACATATCCATAGAAACAAGCAGGTGACTGACCCCCAACCAAATTGTTACATAGTGCACCTTCAAGATTATATGTTTAAAAAAAAAAAAAAAAGTGCATTTTTGAGTTATCTTTACACACTTATTTTCAAGACACCATTTTGCTGAGCAACACCCATTTTTACCAACACCGATACACACCCAAAGCTCTGTACTTACTGCATTTTATAATTTTATTTTGTTTAATCAATCGGTGATACACGTAGGATTCGGCAGCGTAGCGTTGCTAGTGCAGCTATCTACAGGAGTTGGCAGCTCTTTGTTGTGATGACGTTAACGGGGATGTCCACTCCAATTGGGCTCTGCATTTTTCTAACGTGGAAATCAGTGGACTTGTTTCTTTCATTAAGTTGTTTTAGATGAATATTGAGATGTCAAATGAGCAAATTATAACACATTACATAATGATCCACGATTGTCATAGAGTATAACTACAGAGCACACACAAGTACAATAGGTCTGCTTTAATGGTGATACAGGAGTACTCTAATGCGCTACTTTTTTGCCAGAGTAGCTACAATTATATTAAAGGGACAGTCTGGAATTTTGGACATAGGACCTCATTTCCTAGTGAACCAGAGTGTTGGAAACGTGTGTTTTAAATATTCCATCTAGTCCATGTATTTGCAGAGGTCGCTGGTGCTAGGCTAGTGTATGTCAATGGCCATAGTTAGCCTGCCGCTAAACACAGTCTTACCCACTCCACAAAACATCCGAAGTAAAACATTTACTATGCCAGACTGTTGATGTGAATGTCTGTGTTGATAGAATAATGTTTGAAATAAAATTAACCTTACATCGCATGAATCGCATGTTGAGGGACTATTTTCTTATATATCAGTCCGCCACTGCGAAGCTTTCTATCTGGAAGTACAACTCACTGCTGCTGCTCAGACATAAATCCTTCAAATGCAAGGTTGGTTTTACTTCTAAAATAATTCTATCAACACAAACATTTACATCAACAGTCTGGTGTTATAATAGTTTTGCTTCAGGTGTTTTGTGGAGTGTCTAAGCCTGTTTTTAGTGGCAGGATAACTATGGCCATTGACATGCACTAGCCTAGCGACCTCTGCAAATACAAGGACTGGATGGAATATTTTAAAAAGTGTCTCCACACGTCTCCGACACGCTGGTTCACTAAGAAATGAGGTCCTATGTTCAAAATTCCAAACTGTCCCTTTAACGGTGGCTGGCGTAACTGCTTGTCTATATGGAGATATTACTGTTTTGTTTTAATTATTTCACAGTATAGAAATAAACTTGGTAATCACAATGGAGACAGGTTAATGGTCAGATATATGGAGAGGCAAGCCTGCATGTGGTAAGAAGTAATGTTTTTTGAGGTATTTTTGAGCTATGAACCACCTGTAATTGAACAAATGTAAGGGAGACATGTTTACCGTGCCATACCAACTTTATTTATGAAGCTCTTTTAAAAACTTTACAGCTGGCCAAAGTGCTGTACACAAGCACAGAAAGTCAAAGTCACTATACAGCTACTAAAAACACAGAAAACAATAAGTAACTCAAGTTCATTAACAACAGGAAATGTACATCTCACTTGTTCAAAGCCATTGGAAAAGGTTGCGTTGAATACACAGTGTATCTTTTAAAAAACAGAAATAAATCAATAAATGTCTGAAGATGAAGTCCCGTTAGCATCTCTAGATTCTCGTATTTTTGTGTGTGGGGGGTGTCAGCTCGGCCTGTTAGTGTAATTGTGAAGCGTGCAAAGCTTTAGGGAGAGCGCAGAGCGGAGTGCAAAACGTGCTGACATTTAGACACAGCGTCTGAGCTAGCGCTGGGGGCTAACGGCTAACTGTAAATGAGTCTGAGACATGGAGGTACTTAAGAGGACAAATCCAGGAGGAGAGACGGAGGGAGAGAAAGATAGGAGAGGAGAGGTGGAAGGAGAGATGGCTTGTGGTGGTCCTGGAGGAGAGAGAGCAAGAGGGGGAGAGATGAAGGAAAGAGGAGAGAGAGATTGGGAAGGAGAGGAGAGAGAGAAAGAAAGAAGAGGCAGAACTTAAGAGAGTGAATCCAGGAGGTGAGAGGGAGAGAGAGAAGGAGAGGATAAGGAGGCAGAGGATAGAGAGGGGTGAGAGAGAGAGAGAGGAAGGGAGAAAGAAGGAGAGAGTAGAGAGAATAGAGGGAAGGAGAGGAGTGGTGGAGTCTCATGTTGGTATTTATAAGCGCAAATCCAGGATGAGAGAGGAAGGGGGAGAGAAAAATAGGAGGAAAGACTGAGAAGAGAGAAGGAGAGAGAGGAACAGGACAGGGCTGGTGGAGTCTGAGACATGGTGGTACTTAATTGGGCAAATTGAGGAGGAGAGAGAGGGAGGGAGAGGAGAGAGAAAGGAGGAGGAGAGGTGGTACTTAAGTCCCCATTTACATGTACATGGTAAAAACAGAGACATTTCCCTTTGTTTGTACCCATCTTCCCATGTTTTACACACAAACAGCAAATTTGCTTCTGAAAACAAATCTTTCTAAAAACTCTGGCTAGAGAAGAGATTCTGGAAAACTACGGTTTGGCGTTTGCGTGCGAAGTGAGATAAACAGAGTTTTAGGAGCCGACGTGCCAAAAGTGCAACCAAATTTTCCCTTTTGCTGTGCATTTCTTCTTTGCACACAAAGCTGATGTATCATATCGATGAGCAGAGACAAATGACGGCTCGGGACTCATCAATTTTTCCACTTCTTTAACAGATCTGTGGAGAGGTGAGCCCGCTCAGTAATGCATGTTTTTCAAGGTATTTTTGAGTAATATTTACAACTAATGAAATATATGCTACACGTTTGAATCTAATCTAGGTGCCGCCCAGAGGCTTGGTGTAGTTATGACGGCGCTCAATGGCGCATTTATACAGGCTGATGTAAACGAAAACTTTTTTGAAAATGATGCTGTGTGCACGATGTTATTTTGGAAAATGGAAAGAAGGGAAATATTAGTTTCTCAACATACCCAGCTGTGTGTAAACAGCCAAAGAGAGCGAATCCAGCAGGTGAGCGGGGGAGAGAGAGGAAGA